ATGTTTTTTAACAAACAACTCCATGTTTGCTCCCAACTCCTGCCTTAACCTCTAAGTCTATATCAAGATTACTCAAATATAAATATTTCTTTTAACTAGTAAAATCACTATTACTTTCCAGAGTTTCTTAAGCAAGGAAATGCCAAACATAATCCTGTAAGCTTTCTTCCATTTATTGCTCTTCCACAGAACTAAATATTGACAAAAAAACCACTTTGGTATAATATGTGAAACCCTATATTGGACATAAAAATTATCTTATGCTAACAAACATGAATTTATGATCAAATAAAAGTGAAAGTGTACTAAAAGCATTTAGCCAAATTTTGTACCGCATTATTTAGGTGTGATTCACCCTGAAGCTTATTGGCTTTGTGCTTTCATCTCAGCATACTTCTAAAGAACAAATTGCCAATCTGGTATTTTTCTCTTAGAATAATGTGTGATATAATTCACTATGGCAAGTCAAATAGTTAACTTGTAATTTGGGGGACAGTTTATTCGGGCAACATTTTAATGATCATATATCTCTATCTCAAAATTAATCTGTTACTCGGTTAAATCACTCCAAATTCTTTCTTCTGCAATCTGCAAGAATAATTGCTGCTTCAGTTTCAATCATGGAGCAGTAAATCTGGATTTACTTTTAGGCAGCTGGCTTATAAGTCCCTGGTTATGCATAATTTCATAGTGATTGAAGTTATTTTGATATTATATCAACAATAGCTTATCCGTAGCATCAACTGCAAGCAATTAAAAAAATTCACATTTTATGTGTACCTTTTTCAAGTAGCTTGCCTTTGTAGACGCACAGGTTTTCCCCACCACAGTGCTGCTGATAAACTTTTATTTCATCACGAAAGTCTGAGTGATCATAAGCTAGGTGCACATTTTTCCCCAAATAGATCATTGTAATAGCTGCATTACTATGCAGTGGTGTTTTATAAGTCCTTCTTGAATCCTAGAATAAACAACAAAAAAGGGGGGACTTATTAACTAATTACCTCCTAATCAGAGTGAGATGGCATTGTAATACAAAGAGTAGAAAAGGCAATTTTCATGTACCTAGTGACAAGACCTTCATAAAATGTCAACCCATACAGTGCACAGAAAGCCAAGCCCGTTACAAAACACATTCCTTCAACAACTAGAGCATTTATATGTTTTGGCTTTGTATTTTTGATATAAATGCTGGGGGTCTGGACAAAGTTTGTCACCTACTGTTTACATATGTGTGTGTGTTCTACATACAACAGAAAGACCAATGACGTCGAGAGGAGACTACCCTTGGATCCGTCAGCTGGTTCTCAAAACAAAAATTCAAATCAAATAATTAAATAAACATTGGGGACATGATTTTGTTCTAATTCGAGTGGACATGAACTGTGACTTGGCAACTGTTTTTGTAATTGAATGTTTCATCTTCACACGCGAGCACTGACAACACCTCCTTCCCTGGGCTTATTCTATGTGAGAGGGAGATGCGTACACCTGAGTCCTTTGACGGTCCCTCTGAGGAACAGGAACAACGTATGTCATGTACCCGGGATTAGCCAGTTCCACAGGAGGCATTTAGTTCAATGAAAAAACAACATTATTGATATGATTTTTAATATTAAACAATATACCCAACAAAAAATCACCTCATAAACCTATCTGATATTCTATGGCATTGACCAAGTTAAATTATTTATAAAATAAACAAAAACTTAAATGCCAGGGACTAAATGTCCAATGCCTTGCCTCCTAGGTGATATTCTGGTGTTTGCACAGTAGCGAATGAGCAGCGTTTGCCTAACATTTCAGAGGAAGACAAGGAAAGAGAAGCCGGAAATGGAAGAGGAAGAGGAGGCAGAGAAGAAACAATGACTCCTTGAGATACTTCCAGAGGGCCCAGGAAGACTGCTGTAGATTTCCAGAACCAAACAGAGGCCAGGAATTACTTTTAACCTACTTCACTTTTCTAAAAATCAATTTTTAGCTAAATGAAAAATGTGAAGAGACTAACTTTCAGTGAATCCAAGGCAATTATTTGAGTTTGAGTTCATTGAATTACATGTGCCTTAGAAGCATGCATTTTAGTAAGAATGACAAAGCTGAAAAAAAAATTCTGAAGGAACTACTAAAATATTTCCCTCTCCAAACCCATCCCCTTCCACCTCAGAGGATTTTTTCTCATTCAATTCTATTCCTCTGAAGCAAAAAACAGAGGAAGTAAATCTGATGAAGTGAAAATCTGCAAATGACAGTCCAAAAAGGGTAAATTGGTGGGAAAGCCTGAGATTTAAAATCTGAGCAAATTGTCCTGCCTGTAGACAAACAGAGCTCCCAAGTAGAGAAATAATCAGGAGAAAAGTTTCAGGGGCAACAGGAGCCATGAAGGCAAACCAGCAAGCTGGGTAAATCTTTGCAGATTAGCAACATCGCCCTGAGTCACAGTTGAAGGCAAAGGGTTGATGGGAGGCCTGGCTCCTAGTTGCAAAATCACCCCATGTTTCCTCTTGCCTGAGCAGCTGAGGAGCCGTGACACACACGTGTGCAGCCCAACGCACAGTCACCAGCCTAAGGCAAATCCAGCTCCGAGCCCCCACTAGAACATTTAATGCTATGATGGATTAAGTAAAAGCATCCCACTTTGTTAAGCAATTCTTTCTAAAGTGCTGTGGATTCAGAGATAGCCCTGCGAGCTTCTGGGGGATAAGCAGCATATAAATACAAGGTAATAGTGGGATTAAGGTAGAGGAAAGGCCTGTCTCCCATGCAAAATGAAAAACTGGAACGAAGAAAAGCTTTAAAAACAAAATAAAGGAAATGACAGCTCTTCACCCTTTTCATTTACTCTTAGTTCCTTTTTATTTTTTCTGCTTAAGTGCATTCCTGATAGCAACATCTCTTTTCTCTTGGGTCTGACTGCTACATTCCTTTTTAAAATATTCTCCAATTATTGCCACCAAGTAACCTTTTCTGGGTTCTGATAGGAGTGACAGCTCATGATTAAATACAGGCACTAAGAAACGAACAATTGTTTCTTTCAGTTGACTAAACTGCCTCTATACTTACCATCTTCCAAGGTTATAATGACCCCAGACTGCTGAAACTTTAGCAAGGTTTCACGGCCCTTTCTGCTGTCCTCAAGCGAGTATCAAAACCTTCCAAGCAAATTCAGTTGCATTGTAAGATCAGGAGCGAGGCTCCTGCCCCTGCACAACTGAGGGCCAACTCTTTTACTTCCTGGACCAGTTGCTTACGACTTTCCTTCTCATTTCTTTTCAGATTCCTCAGGCAAGTACAATCTGAGATGGCAAATTAACAGCAAGCCTACTGAATGGTTAAGCATGCAGCCATTATATATTTGTAACACGGAGCATTCAGTTGACTTTTCACTGCCCAGGCCTGTGTGAGAGGGGGTTTAAGAGGCTGTAGGTATCAAAGCACCTGTTCCTGCTGACAGTGCTGGACAGCAACTCCTCTGAATCTCCTTAGCCAAGCCCTGATGAACATTGGACATCATAAAGTCTTAATCGAAACCACTGCAGTCAATTCCTAGTCAGCATGCTATAAAAAAAGAGCATGAATTTGAACTGTTTCAGGAAAGCTGGGGTGTACGGTCACCCTACTAGCTGGTCCTCGCACTTCTACCCGGGGTCCTTCAAAAATCTCCTGCCTCCTGTCACTAAGTAGATCATGTGACTCTCCTGCTTAAAGTCCCCCAGTATCCATAGGATAAGATCCAACATTCCTCAGACAACAAGGAAAAAAAGTCTTCTATTCTCTAACCCTATCTTTTCAACAATTGCAATTTCTTGTGTTACATTTAAAGGTCCAGCAACTGAATTAATTGTAGTGGCCGGAGTATGACCACCATGTTTTTAATCTTGAGGCAGAGATAGCTGTGAGTCATGTGGCATTGACACTACTTCCTTTTACTCCTCTCTCTCAGTAGAAAAGGACAGTGTCTTACCGATCTTTATGCCCCGTGCCAGCCAGTGCTGACACCTAGTAAGGGCTGGACACAGACATGCAACAATTCCACATTCTGTCCTTTGCTGAGACAAAAGCAACAGTAGGTTGACCCCACACTAAATCAGAACCTTTGTACCTTTACAGGAACTCAGTGAATTGGTCCCAGAACATGAAAACTGATTCACCAGCATCCTATTCAACAAAACACCACCTTTGTTGGTTTAGCCTTGATACAGACTGATAAGAAGCCTGGCCCACGAAGAGTGGCAGACAGTCCCCATGTTGACTCTGATTCAGTCTCAGGGAGAGGAAATTCTGACACGAGCCAGAAGAAGAGACTGTTCACATCCTAAAGGTGCAGGAAGCCACTGGCTTTGGTGGAAACCTGTCCTCACTATACTCATTTGGTTCTGCTCTTTCTCTCCTCTTTCTTTCTGTTTTCTCCTGTTCTCGCCTCCTCCCTCCTTTGCTTTTATTATGTGTCTTCTTTTCACTTTCCTCTTGCCCATTTTTTTTTATTATTGTTACTGTGTAACCCATATCTCAGTACTTATTCGTGTCATGCCCCCAGATGTCTCCATCCTTCTGGAGGTATCTGAGCTCCAGAATTTGAGGATGCTGGGTTAACATGCGAGACTTCCCTTCTTCATCTCCCTCAACAGGATGGATTCCTTGATTCTGTTAAGAGCTGGAAATTATCCAGCTGAATTTGGCTTTTGGTGAGAAGTCCCCCAAATCGGATCCCCTTAATACAGCGGTCTGCCCTGACACCCATGATCATTTGCGGTTTTTCCTTTCTTCTAGGGTTTTGTTCTACAATGCCAGCTGTTAAGATATTTTGATTGTTGAAAGGACTTTGAAAACGGTTCTTAAGTTCTTTTTAGTTATGTAGTTACCAAACTGCAATGCTAATTTTAAGCAAAAACATTGTTTAAAGGAAAACGTTTGCCTAAAATAAATCAAGCCTGCCATGAGATAGTTGAACTACCATATATCAACATCATGCTAATGTCTTCCTTTTTCATTCTTAAATCTGAGTCTCCTGGTGAGAAAAACCAAGAGGAAAAAAATATCAAGATAATGCACTGACTAGAAAGAAAATTTTTTAAAATTCCTTAAATTAAATCAAAAAGAGAAATATGTGATCTTTCAAAGCTAGTATTTGTTAGGCTTTATTCATGGTTGGGGAAAAGGGATCTATATCTGAAAGGCATAATTGACACCCATAATATTTTCTTATGCTAAAAAGTATAACTAAAAGTTTAATTTTTGCAATTTCTGCACAGATAAGAAAGCAACATCCATTTATGAACACATTACTAATAAGCATTTGATAAAAGCTAAATAAAAGCAAATGCCTGCCCTCAACAGCCTTCATGATCGAGAGTAGCAGTGAGAAATAACAAAGGTACATGAGTATTTGTGCTAAGCAGAATATCGTAATGGACGTAAGAAAAGTAACAAAGGCTTCTTAAAGGGAGGAAGAGCAGGGATCCTACTACGATGCAGAGAAGTGCACCGTAGAGCGTGACGCCTCTGAGCCCAGGGAAGGGTGGGTATGGAGACACACTCTTCTCTCTCAGGCACTCACGGGCACCTCGTAGAAAAAGAATTTCTGGGAGAAAGTAATTTAAAAAAAAAAAGCATAGATCTGAGATGGGGAAGTGGTGGACCAACCAACTGAGGGTGTAGAAAGGAGTTCAGTTTGGCTTGGCTAGGAGCAGAGAGAATGCTGGAAAGGGGCCAACATTTGAAAGCCCTTGAACGCTAGGACACTAAGCACATCCTTTTATTCTGATGTTTTGAGATTCCAGTCCTTACCGGCCCTGGGACACTGCCCCTCCCAGGACTAACCAGTTCCTAGAGATAGTAATGACTTGCTGGGGAGAATGTTTTTTGGCGTGCAAACCAACCAACAGAGAGCCCACATCCACTCCCCAACCTCACACACTCTGGGCCAAGATTCCCCGGCCCTGGACCAGGTACCAGGCCGCTCGG